CCTCACACGTGACCTCTGTTTGCTGCGCATGTGCCCACACGTTGCCTCCCCACCGGCGCGTATATCTCACGTGTGGTACCAAACAACTTATGCTCATCATTTGGAGTTTGGTGAGGGTCGCCATTTGTCCACTAGGTGAATAGATCTTCCAAAAATGGGTTTAAAGTTTCAAGTAAACCTGTTTTTTACAAAATTTGAACCCCTTCAACTTCCAATCTAATTTTTTTGGTTCCTGTAACACTTTTTACTTCTAGTTTAAGCTTTGATACCATTTGTAACACTTACTGCGTTGGATCATGCACAGTCATCCACGAAAATGGTAATTCATATACTGAGAAAAGAATCTGTCGGAGGCTACCAAGAATTTCTTTGGAGATATGAAACTCTCCTACTCGATTTTCTCTTTATGCTCTCTCTTTTTTATTTCACCAAGTCCAAGTAAAACAGGTAAATACACATGATTTGAGTGTTTGGCAATGATTGTGCTAGTTTGGTATAATTGTGGACCATAGATTAAATTCAATGATTAGATTTAATCTTGTAGTCACTTTGTACATCTAGTCATATCACTTGTCATTGATTTTTAATTTGGAATTCAAATGATTTTAGCTCTATAATTATATGTGTATTTACTTTTTTCACGTAGACTTGACGAAACAAAAGTAGAAAGCATAGAGAGGGAACCAAGTGTGAGATATTCATATCTTCGGCTAAATTCTTGGTAGCCTTCGACAGATTCATTTCTCGATATATCCATTATCATTCTCGTGGATAAAAGTACATGATCCAGTGCGGCACAAATCTAAGCTCAACATTACAAAACACATTGGTGGTGACATTGAAGAAGATTTGAGTTGTTTGGTTTGGGTTGTAATAATCATTTTACACCACATTATAAATTCGATCTCACTTTGATACTCACAAAGAGGTTGAAAAAAATCATTTTCTAATATCTTTGTTGACACAAGAAAAGTGTAGGAAGTCATATATACCAAGAGAAGATACTCCAGCAAAAATTAATGTCCTTGTACCGTAATTTGCTATAGAATATGAATCTTAAATACGTTAAAAGTGTGATCGATTAGTTAATGTCAAAAACTCTATATCTCGAAAGAGAAAAGAATGAAATAAAAACTAATCAAAAAGGTCAAAAGAAGTAATATTAAAAAAATTTGATCAATTAAATATTGATGATATGGTTCCTAAAGAACCACAAAATATCTAGAAATAATGGGATTTCAACAAATTATATATTATCTCATAAATTATGAAAACATAATGACATTGTTATAGACAATATTTTATTTTTATCGTAATTCTTGAATCATGCAAAATGAGGATCCTAAACTACAATTCATTAAAAATTGTCAACGTAGAATTGATTGATCAAAATGAGAAGAAGCGATACAGACAGTTGAATTATTTAGAGAAATGAAAAGTATTTAAATTTGTAGTTCGAATACTTGAAAAATGTAATATTTGTATATACAAATAGATACAAAGACCTGTAAATAATTATAAGGAAACATATCTTAGCACAACTAAGGATATTAACATATCTTGCAAATTTTACTAGACTAGATACATTTTTTGTTGTAAATCTCCTTACAAGATATAGCTCTTTACACACTCAAGATATTGAAATGATATTAGACGCATTTTTCGTTACTTCAGAGGTACTATTGATATGTGATTATTTTATTCCAAAAAATTAAGATATTCTTTAGTGGGATATGAATATGCATGTTATCTCTTTGATCTACATAAAGTTACATTCCAAATAGGATATGTATTTATACGTAGTGGAATAGTTACATCACGAAGATCCGTAAGCAAACTTGACAACAACATCTTAAATTAATAATTATGAAATTATTACAATCCATGGGCAAGTCGAGAATGTGTATGACTGACGAATATAACCCATCATATCCAAGGATTATGTAGATTAATTTCAATAAAAGATAGTCTAACAATATTGCATGAAGATAATACATCTTGTATTGCATAACTTAAAAAAAAGCTATATCAAAGGAGACACGGCAAAGCATACATGTCTCTTAAATTTTTATAAATTTCAGAGGACCGATGATATCGATGTTCAACAAATTTGCTCAACTAGTAATATAGTTTACTTATTCTTAAAAGCATTATCGACGTTTACATTCAAGAAAAATGGTATGCAAGATAGAAATGTGTCAACTCAAAATTTTCAATGATCAATATTAGAGGAAGTAGCTGTATTCTTTCTCCTTCTCTTAGGGTTTATACGACTAAATTTCTCTGTTAAGGTTTTAATGAGACGTCATTTATTTTTATTATTCCAAAAATAATTATACTATTTTTTTCCTTCGTTTGACCTTCTTGTCCTACTAAATTTTTATGAAACAAGTTTTTAATGAGACATGTATTATGTAATGAGTTGATAAAGGGGGGATTTTGCAAATTATATGTTTATTATGTTTATCAGTGACTAACAATTATACTCCTATAACCTTAGTTACTATGACTATTATATTTATTGTAGCACAATTCTTTCATAGCTTCACACAAATGTATTTGACTTCTATGTTTTCTTCTCTTTTTCTCTCTATTTTATAACAGTAAAATAATTTTAAGTTATTGGTTTTATAATATATATTTAGTTGATTAATGCTTATTTAAATAGTTAGTTTAGTAGACTATAGAATTATAAATGCACTATAATTTAGTAAATTATTATTTTATACATAAGTTAATAGCTCTTTTAAAATTAATCACCAAGGCTATGAGGTTTTCTTTGATAATCACAAAAGAAAGCTTTTTTATATTTGCTCATTCATTCGTCTGTTCGTTCACTAGGTATGTTTTTTACTTCTATTTCTTTCCTCTTGTCGAACTCTAATAAGCATAATTGGTGGACAAATAGTCTATTCATTCGAATCCTATGTAAATTTGTAATTTTACTAATCGAACAAAGAGAGAGAGACACAATCAATTTATAGTTTTTGAATTTTTAATTCATGTTAATGGCAATCTACTCCCCGTTGTACTATTGAATTCCACCGCTAATGTAATATAGCCTCCGTTTGGCCCCTCTCTTTTTTTTTTTTCAAATTTTATAGTGTTTTTTTTTTAAAATGTGTTATTGAAAAAGAATGAATTTTTTTTTATTTGCATGTAATATTATTTTATGAAAGACTGTGAGATTGAAAATAAGAGAGAAAAAAAAATAAGAAGGAGAATGAGAATCAAACCAGGGGCATAATAGACTAATAGTGATTTTACATAGGCTCAATGTTATAAAAAATGTTCTCAAAATCGAATCAGGCCGACGGACAGAATTGAAAATCGGATCGAAATCTAGTCTGATTGTACTGTAGAAATTCGTTGTTAGAAAATTGGTGTAAAACTCGAAAATCGTTCGGCTGAAACTGAAAACCAGTGAATCGGCTATGGTTTTCCTGGTTCCACACTTGAAATTTTGCTAAAAAAATTAGAGCACAACAAAGAAGAGAAACGTTGTCTGATATGTAGATATAAAATATATACATCTTTATTCATGTGAATGTGGGATAGAAGACAGCGAAAACGCATAGACGTCGAGACGACGGAAACATAAAGAAGAAAATTTGGAACCTTGTGGCTCTGTATATGCATATTTTAATAGGGGCATATACATATGGACTATAACACTTTTTGTTAGGCCTGGGCAAAAAAACCGCCAAACGGAGCCAATTCGGTTTGGTTTGGTTTAGAGCAGTCAAATGATTTGGTTTTTTGTAGACAAAACCATGTTGGTTTGGTCTGGTCTATGGTTTGAATACCAAAACCGATGGTTAACCGCCCAACCCGCTACAGATTTAAACAGTCCATGGTTTGAATACCAAAATTTATGGTTAACTGCCCAACCCGCTATAGATTTAAACATTTTTTAGGGGAAAAAAGAGAAAGAAGGGGGACTCACAAACGGAATAGGACTGTAGGAGTCAAAATAAACATGGTAATCCACTAACCCTAAATCTCTCCAAGTCTCCAATCGAGCCTCAATTCCTCATTCCTCTCCAGAATCCAATCTCTCACGTTGCAATCCAAAAATTATCTCACAAGTTACTTCCAGGTTCCATCTCTGATTCTCGACACCACAACCTGACCGCTGCTCTGCTTGAAATCGCTGCTGCATTTAAGCCTCTACGAGTCGCAGCTTTCCGTCCTCTGGTGCCTAAATCTTATATTATTTTTCTATGGGAATAATATATAGCGTCACTTTGTAATTCCGAATTTGTAATTTGTAGTTTGTTAAACCTTTGTAATTTATAATTTTGTATTCCTCCTCTTTCTTGAATTGGGGTAATTTTGAATCCGAATTATTGATTTCTTCTTCATTGTTTGCTGTCCATTCTTTATAAGTTACAATGCAATGTTATTTAAAAGTTCAAACCCAGAAACCAAACCAAACCGAACCGAATCGAAGTGGTTTGGGTTGGTTCGATTTAAGAGTTAGAGTGGGTTGGTTTTGATTTTAATTTCACTCAAACCGACTACTTTGGTTTGGTTTTTGGTTGAGGTCGAAACCAACTCAAACCAAACCACGTCCAGACCTACTTTTTGCCCATTTACTATAACTAAATACCTACCTAGATAATAAATATTAAATAATATATATTAAATTTTGTTTTAATTAATAAATTTTTTAATGTAATAATATATTTATCTATTTAATATTTTAAATTTTAGGTTAATTTCGATTCGACCTCGATTTCACCTTTTAAGTTTTAACTGTTGACTCTTTAATGTTTTTGGGTCAATGATCGGGTTAATTCTCAAAAGATTGATTATAAGGGTGTTTGACACTTATTTTTAAGAAAAATGAATTTTAAAATGGTAGATTAATGGATAATGTGTTAATAAAGAAAAAGGAAAAATTTTGATTTATGTGTAATATTATTTTAATGAAAAATATGTGATTGAAAAGAAAGAAAAAAAAAAGTATTTTGAGAATCCTTCCACATCCCGCACGCGCCCGATTGTAACCCAAAATGCCATTTCTTAACTATAGCTAAAATTCCCACGGAAAAAAGGGCTACCCCATAAATCTCATTAAAAACACTCCAAGAACCCACAAACCCTTATGTTCGATTACGCAGAGGGTCAAGAAAACTGCAACTTTTAGTTTCTTTTTCTTTCTATGAAAGAAGGAAAAAAATGGATTCTGCTGCTCTTGATTCTATAATCAACCGTTTGCTTGAGGTTAAAGGGAAGCCGGGAAAGCAAGTGCAGCTCTCAGAGTCAGAGATCAAGCAGCTTTGTTTGCAGTCTAAAGAGATTTTCTTGCAACAGCCTAATCTTCTTGAGCTTGAGGCTCCCATTAAGATCTGTGGTAAATTTTCCTTCGATTTAGTTGTTAAGTTACTCTGTGTGTGTGTGTGTGTGTGTATTTTGGCCTTTTCTCCATCTTCTTAAAGTTGGGTTTTGTTATGTGGTGATTTTGTGATGTCTCAGATGTGTTAAAAGTTATGAAGTGACTTTTTTCGTTTATTTTAATTCCTATTTTCGGCAGTTGACCTGGAATGAACCCAGTTATTTTCTGCTCTTAGGTTTGTGCATACAGAATATGTGCTTTTCGTTTATGTGAAATTTAATGCTACAGGACGAATGGGCTATGATTGAAAGTGATAGTATAAGAATATTGAGAATTTTGTAGATTAATTCCGAGAACGTGGTGGAAATATATAATTGTTTTCGATGGTTATTTTTAGTTAAGAGAGCCCCTTCTTTGGGTCTTAAAGCTTGGTTGGTCAGAGTAGTTGTGGAAAGAATCGAAATGGGCTTGATTCTGTAGCTGTTTATTCACCATTTTCATGAAAGAATTATAGTTTGTCCCATCATTTTAAAGTATAATTGGGTATAAGAGGCCATTTGTTACATGTGGGATGATAAAAAACAGTAGGACACTTGGCTTTTATGAGTTCTCATACTTAAAGTTTGGTTTTTTTTTTCCTTGGTTGCCTACTTTCAGCTTGATCACAATATTCTAGTAACAGATCCCTTTCTTTATTCTAGAAAACTTATCTTTCTAATGCACCCTATGTTGTCAAATAACTCCATTCTTATGCACGGGTGGCTTTGTGGAAAGAACCACTATTACATGTCACAATGGTTAGTCATGAGTAAGTGAACAATGACTATGACACTCATTAAATTCTAAATATAAAGGTGAGTGAAAAGCGTGAAAAGATATTAAAGGTTTTTGGAGTCCATAAAGATTGAATGAGGAGAGTTCACGAAGGCAAAAACTTTAAAATTCTGCACTAGGCTGTTTTTAAATTAGGTTGCTTCCTTTTACTTTGATAGACTTCTTTGATTCTTTTGTCATCCTACCAGGTGATCTACTTTGTATTTCTTCTATTCCAGCATTAGAAAGCCCGTGATAATGTCCAAATAGTGTACTGGTTTTATACCTTAAACTTGACAAAAGGGGGATTATCCTGAACTAGTAACTTTATTGCATGCTCATCATGAGCATTTAATAAACCTCTTCCTCTCTATCCCATTTTTTATTTCTCGTTTTTTATCTTTTCTGGTATGACTGTACATTTATCTTAACATCTTTATGTTTCCCCACAATAATCTTCTGAAATTTTGTCCGTTAGCGGCCTAAAAGCCAATACCGTAAAGTATAGTTGATTTGACAATCTCTGCATCAAATCAGTCCCGTAGAACTTTTGTATAGTTTCTTGATTTTGATTTTGTCTAACTCATGCTAATTTTATGCATTAATTGTTTCCAATTCGTGACATTCTAATCTAATGAGAATCACTCTTTAGGACAATATGCTCATCTATTTTTATTATAATGTCATCTTCATTCCTTCTATGACTAAAGCAATTCTATGCATTCTTACTTAGTTTTAATTAACTCCAAACTCTTCGGTTGCTCCAGTGTTTTAAAACTATGATTTATTCCTTTTCCAGACTCATCAACTAAAATAAAGGACTTCATATAGGATATATTTTGTAAGGTTATTAATGACTAAAGAAAAGATAAAGATTAGAGTAGAATCTTGACACGAGCTTATTGTAATACCAACATATAGGTGTTCGTTGTTGGCGGTTTTTATTTGGAATAGAAGTTTCTTTATTACTTTTTCCCCATTAAACACTGACCATAACACTTTTATTAATTCTGTAATATTCTATCTTTAAATCAATGCCAGTCATGTTCAAGTTTTACTTCTTTCTATGATAGATACATCCATCAATCTTGAAATAAGATAAATGACTTGTGCAGTGCATCATATTCATTCTTGATGACCTTTAATTGTACCTCTATTTTTAAATCATTGTCTCCAATCACTTGAGTTACTACTAATATCGACAAAGGTCTTGAAACAAAGGTCTAATTGCCTATAAATTGGGGATTGGCTACATGAATCCTTTTCCACATTTCCATTTGGTCCATTGTTGCAACTACCGTAACATCCAAACAACTATCCTTTACTGCCACAAAAATCCATGTTATTTTGGTTTGCTCATAATTTCTTTACTGAGATTGCGTCACTTTTATGAACTAGAACCTCTATAGTTATTGATGACATACCCTAACCTCCATTCGTTTGGCATGTTTTCTCATTATATATTGCATCCAACATGAACAAACAGTCTTATCACTGGATTTCACTTTACATATTCTGAATTTGTAATTTTTTCTATTTTCAACAAATATCAAGTTCTAAATAATTATATACAAAGCATCATGTGGTGATTATAGAAAACAATAGTTACAGTTCTCATGGGCCTTGGCGTAGGACAGTATGTTATCGTGTCTTATTATTAGTAGATAAGTCTGATGCTAGGCTGTTGATAGAGGTGCCACAAGGTGATGGAATGAAGAATTGTATAACCTATAAAATGCATTTAAAAGGAGTTATTATATTTGGCCTAAATAAGAATTAGATGATATGATATGGGCAATGGAAAATTATGTTTAAAGAACTGGACAATATAATTACTGTTCCTCTGTGAATGGTGCTCCATAAATAATACATTTTCTTAGCGTTCTTTTTCTTTAATGGCCAGTGGTTCTCTGTGGAAGTCTCGGTGTTTATGAAGATCTCTCTCCCTCCCTCCCTGCGTGCGAACAATAAAGTTTGTTTTTGTGTAAATTAATGAATGAAATAAATTTATTTGTTTGTGCACTTCTGTTTTCTTTTTGGAGGACTACTCGTCCTCAATTTTTTTTCTTCTCTTTCGCTTATCAATTCATAACTCTGATTTTATCCAGAAGAACAGAAGGAAAAGTAAGGGGAGTGAGGAAGAAACTTGGGAAAAATGGAAAAATTATCTGTAGGACTAGGGAACATGCTTTGATCATGGCACCAGCTGTTATATAAGAAATTCTTCTTTTAGATTAGTTTAATGAATATCTAAAGATACTTAAATTTTCTTCAACTATTGAAGTTATGATAAACTGATATGGGAATTCAACATTTACCTATCTTTGAAACAATTATATCGATAACTCAAGCTAATGGACTTTTCATGTCGGCTGCTTAATTTTTCTCTCCTTAAAGAGGAATGAGAAGCTTTAGAGATGGCAATGATTGCTTTCCCTGATTTTCGGTGATTTTTTTGACAATTCATAATATCATTAGTAATATGCCAAAAGGAGGCATACAGTGGTGTAGCTAGGAGGCTGATTCAGTGGGGGCACCACTGGACTTCGCAAAAAATCTGAATACTCAAGTAACCTGGATTAAAGGAGTCAAATGCTCTAATTTCGAGTTGTCACTCATGGGCTTAAGAGGCAAAACTCCATGACTAAGTCATGTGAAGGAATGCTTCCATCTTGTTTCGTTGAGGTGCTTTTGGGCCCTCCTTTCTCTGTATCATGTGAAATGTAGCCTTGGAAACATGGACCCCATTATTTTCTTTTCATTTTCCCTCTCTCTCAATACTCCTTTCTCTCTTGTTCAATGCTTCAACTAAGTGTCCAATGGTTCAAAGTTTCTGACATTCATATGACTTAATGATAATTCAATATCAGGTATCAAAATCATATCTTTTTAATACATATATATATTGAGAACGCAAGGAATTTTTCAAGAAAGGAACTTTCTATTCAAAATTCACTTGTAAAAACTTGGAACAGTATGAATTGAAACACCAAAAAGGCACGCTGAACCCCTTGTTAAAACACTGAAAAAGGTACTTTCTTGCTTCTAATTGAAGAAACTCTGTAAACCTCCTTGAATAAAGCAAAAAATTCCCTCTAAGTTGAATATTTTTCTTCCTCAGAATCAATATAATAAGCAATAACATAAGACAAAAGATGACAGCATTTTATACAAGAAAACAGACAACAGATGACTTCTTTAGCGCAATAGACCTGTGGAATCTAATTATCAGAAATGAGATAGTAAAATTGACAGAGATTCTAGAAAGAGAAAAAGGCCATGTGCCTTTGCACTTATATGGTAGTTTTCAAAAATAATAATAATAATAATAATAATAATAATAATAATAAATAATAAATAATAAAAAAATTGATTTTTAAGAAAGCAATAACAAATTTCCAGATTCCACTGGTCACATATGCCCCTGCTGGAACCCCCCCCCCCCCCCCCGCGGG